TAGTATATATATATATATATATATATATATATATATAGAGAGAGAGAGAGAGAGAGAGAGAGAGAATTAGTGCATCACATGTTATTTCGTAAGATTTTTTTCATCTAAGAATAGCTAGGATTTAGAATATTAAGTAATATATATTTGTTTTACAATATGTTTCTTTCACATGTAACTATTTCACATTGTAGCCTGTATGTGAAGCAAATATTACACGTAAAAAACTTCGTATTGTGAACCACATACATATAAAGCAAAAACTTTGTGAAACAAATATACGTTCATCAATACATTAAACACTAGCCTTAGATGAGTATGAGACATTACTTTAAGAGAAGAGTTCTCACGATTATCACAATTTATGGAGTTCTCAAAAGATTAAACCCATATATATATTGACATAAAATAGGTGAGACGGTAGAGAACTTCAAGAAAACTAACCAAGGAATAACGAGAAAGCGGATGAAAAAAATATATCAATATATATATATATATATATATATGTCAAATTAAAGATAATAAAGTGATGGTATTTTGTATATAGTTTATTTCGTTCCTATTTTGGTTATATATGTTCAGCCGAGTTTCGATTAAAAAAAATAAGAGGAATGATTTTATTTTACAAAAATCTGATTTAACCATATATGTTGGATCATCTTAATAACGATTTAGATGAGTTTTTCTGGTTCTTTCTTTTTTGAGGGTCCTCTCTATGTTTTTTTCATATATACATGGAAAAAATTTAGAAAGAACCGTAAAAGCTAACTATTCGTGAATATCATTCTTAATGAATAATATTCATGAATATATATATATATATATGTGGTTGGGTTTACGTGAGATCAAAGGTTTTTCGTGAAACCGTAAGACCAATTTATGTTCATTGATCAACTTTATAAGTTAATGATCTAACAGTATAAATTATACGGTGGCAATTTTGTGATTATTGAGAAATCTCGTGGCGTTTATAAATGTTTAGATTGTCAGATTATTGATCTAATTCAAGGGTTGATAATTGGTCTCACGGGTCTCACGATAAACCATTGGTCTCACATGATCCCAAGTCTATATATATATAATTGGTTCTCATGATTCTCATTTTTGTAGATGTTTTTGTTAAGTATATGTGATTATTGTATTTATATTTTAAAGATTGTATTGTGATTATAATATTATCACATGTGATAATAAGTCACTTATACTCATATGCATATGCGATAATATGCAACTTATACTTACATACATGCTATCACATGTGATATGAACAAAAATTCACATCGTAGATTAATGTTAAACATAACTAAGCACATGTGATTTAAAACGTAAATTCAAAAAATAGAGAAAAATTGTGAAAAAGATTAAAAAAAAATGAAAAGCCACAGCTTTAATAAAAAAACAAAAGAGAGAAACAACACTTCTCTAAGACGCAGAACCAACATGAATCAAACAAAATACAAGAACATCAGAGCAAGAAACCAACAAACCAAGCAAATGATAACAACAGACAAAAGCAAAAGAAAGAAAACTAAAGCTAATGAAGCAACTAACCAGGAGGGAACAACGAAAACCGAAAAAATCCCTGAACCCAGAGCCACCAAACCACGAGAAGCAACTTCTACCATGGTTTTAAGTTAGTTTCAAAATTATACGTTCGTTTGTTGTTTTGGACTTGACGTTACACCAACGGTGATGATCGAGATGTGTAGAAGTTCATGAAGAACAAGTATGTGATCAAGGAGTCGCTTGGTGGTTTATCGTTTGTGGAAAAGGCACTACTATAACCCGATAACCCTTGAGTTGCCCCATATTGACCCGTTTCAATAGTATCATGTAAAAGGCAAATCAAGTCTACAGTGACCAGCTTAAAAATCAAATACCCATAAGAAGACGAATCCTCAAAGAAGTTTGAACTCTAACATTACAGCCATTGTCAGACTTGAATTTTGGGTCTTCTACGTAAGAAACGTAAACAAACAAACATAAACATTCAGACATTTTATTGTATTCAGTTTTCACAAATTTTATACCGTTTTACATTCAGACTTTAGATATACTATCACAAGAACCTTTAATTAAGAAAATTAATCTATGATTATTTGGAGTTGAGTCAAGAACGGACCCAAGAATTTTTTTAATACGGTGACACCATATAAAACGGTTGCACCTTCTAGAATAAAACGGTTGCACCTTTCACGAACCTAATTTCTTTTTTTACCTTACCACGGAGAAACAATATGCTCACACGTGCCATCTAACCAACCCTCTTGTTCCATCTATGAGTTGACCCAAAGCATTATCTCTAGTGCAGCAAGCTTGTATACCTCATCATAAGGAAATATCTTCATCAACTCATCACCAACATTCACCTGTTCAGCACCCATCAATTTATATCACATATATATATAGATATAGACTTGGGATCATGTGAGACCAAGAGTTTTTTGTGAGACCCGTAATTAAGACCAATTTTCAAACCTTGGATTAGATCTACAATCTGAACATTCATAATCACAAAATTGCTATGAGACTTCTCAATAATCACAAAATTGCGATCGTACAACTTTAGACCGTTAGATCATTAGTTTATAAAGTTGATCAATGAACATAAATTGGTCTTACGGGTCCCACGAAAAACCATTGGTATCACGTGAACCCAACCATATATATATGAAACAACCATCGAAATTTAAATGAGATTATGTGCAGAACTAATTAGAATGAACAATACTGCTATATATATATACACTTACACGAACATGAATCATAAACATGCTTTTATATCGATCCGAAGAAATGTGAGCGGAAACGATCTCTAAATTGTGCTTCTCCAAAACCACGCAGATCGCGGTAAGCAGGCCACGCTTCCGGGAAGAGCAAATGCTGATATGAGCATCCGGGCCGCACACATTCAAGGTGATATTAGAAGAAGTCCATGTTCGAAAAACGATTGGCGAACACCAAACCGCAGGGAAGATTTTGGAGAATGGACGGGATATGATGTCGAAGTGTGTGCAGGTTGTTATGGAACCATGATCAGCTAAAAAGGATTCCCTGTTGTTCAGTCTCTTTAGCTTCTGTATCTCAAGATCTTTTAGGGTTTCTTGCAAGGTTGTGATGTAACTTATTGCCTCATCAACTATTGTGGACATTTCTGCCTGTAGGATACAATTAAAAACAGTTAAAATTTTGGGTTATCAGAAAGAGATCAATCTAAGAATATAGAGATATGAATGTATATGTATATATATATATATATATATACCTTTGGAGGGAGTTGAGGGAGTAAAGCATGAAGATCATGGAACATGGTCCTCATCTTCTTTCTTCTCTGTCTTTCTGTCCATAAATGTGCAGCATGATCATCAACAGGTTGTATGTCACCTGAACCTATGTCATGAGGTTGGTTAATGGGACTGTGATCATCAGGCAACTTGTTAACAACTGTGGATTTGTCTTCACTACTTGCACCACTATTAGAGTTGTCAGCCATAGCCCAGAAAAACCCAACTTCACCATCCCTTTCACCCATGTTATATATATATATATATATAGAGAGAGAGAGAGAGAGAGAGAGAGAGAGAAAAGTGAGAGAGAATGGTTTGGTAAAGAAGATGGCAAAACAAAGGTTTATTTATAAAGTGATAAAAGGGGCAAAAAATACAAAATGGGCGGTTACTGTAGCATATAAACATATCTCTCTCTAATTTCATAGCTGTGCTTTAGGGCATGAAATATAATATAATGAAAAGTGATAATTTTTTTTTAATTAACTTGTATATTCAACCCGTTATGTGAATCAGTGAATCTACTAATTTTCGGACGACCACCTGTTTTGTATTTCATTTTTTATTTTGGATTGTTATTATCTTTAGAGTTTGATAAAATTAATCGATATGTATGTGAGTTGGTTTTGACAAGAATACATAAAATATATATGTATATATCTATACAAACCAATATATATGTATATATATATATATGTATGTATGTATGTATACATATATATATATATATGTTATATTATAAAATATTGATTAAATTTCAGAATTACAAAATTTGTGAAACATTAATGGCAAATCATTAAAATCATTTCCAACACTATTTTGAATTTTTGAAGTTTTTTTTTTTAATATTTATTATTCTAAAGTGTATCTTAAAATTAAAAATACTGTAGAATGTGAAAATCTTTAAATTTGGAAAATCTTTAAAATTTAATTGAAGAAAAATATAATATTTCAATTGTTTTCACCGATGAGATTGAATGTATTATAACTTTTAATAAAAAAATTTAAAAATTGTATTAAGATTATGAGTGTGTGTATATATATACTAGAAGGGTACTTGCGCAATGTTTTAATACGGTTTTTATGTCGTTTTGAGAAAGGAATAATGTTTTTGTTTTTGAATAAAATACAAATTTGAAGATATCATAAAATTTCGAAATAAATATATTCAATATTAGTATCAAATTAACTATTTAAATGTTCTTGTTTCTTGTGTAATTTTTTTTAATTCAATTTTTTCATTATAATTTAATTTAGATTTAGTAACAAATTAATTTATTTTTGATTTAATAATATTATTTTTTAATACGAATAATGATTAAGTATTTTGTTAAAACTCAATAATTATTTTAATTACATTTTAGATTTTTTATATTTAAAATGAAATGTTTATCTTGTATTTAACTTTGTTTATCTGCAGTTAGTTACACGAATTCAAATATGAAACTTTAATAAGTTGTACTTACGCACGATTTATTTGTAATCTTGAATTTTAAGTAATAGGCATCAATAAACAATACTTCATGCATGAAAAATGGTTTTCAAGAGTTTTTGTCAAATGTTTTATCTATACTATCTTATAAAGCATTTGACAAAAACTATTAAAACTCTTAAAGACAACCTCTATTGCTTAAAGCCATCCTTAAACCCGTTTATCCCTAAACGATTTCATCTATATCCGATTTCATCCCTATCATATTTCATCGTCAACAAAAACCCAATTCCCTCCCTAAACAATTTCATCTCTAAACGATTTCATCCCTATCCGATTTCATCGCCAACAGATTTTGAAGAATATGGATTTGATTTCATCCCTAACCCAATTCGATTTCATAAACCCTAAACGATTTCATCGCCCTCCCTAAACAATATCATCGCCCTCCCTAAACGATATCATCGCCAACCGATTTTCAAGAATACAGATTTGATTTAATCCCCAAATAAACATCTCATTTTAAATATAAAAAAATCTAAAATATAATTAGGATAATCATTAAGTTCTAACAGAACACTTAATTATTATTTTTATAAAATGTTATATTATTAAACCATAAATAAATTATTTCATTTAAACTTAAATTAAATTATAATAAAAAAACAATTAAAAAATTACATAAAAAATGATAACTTTTAAATAGTTGGTTTGATATCAACATTGATATTTTTTTTCAAGTTTTTATGATATCTTCAAATTTATATTTTATAACATCGACATAAACAAATAATAAAATAGAATCGAGATATGTCTCGCTGCATTGTGCAAATACTCTTCTAATAATATAGTATAGATGTATGTATGTTCAATAGAAAACATTGAAAAAAACAGTATAAATATTATATTCCATCTTATCACCCATTAAATAATATATTCTTTTTTGTCCATATATATTTTATAGGGGAGTGCTAATGGCATATATTGTGATAATATGTAAGAATGTACTGATTATCACAGATGTAACGGACAATCATTACGTATTTATTTGTAATGATTACATGTTACAAAATTTTATGGTAAACTTTTATACATCACTTTTTAACATAAAATCATTAATTTTTGTTTTTAAAAATAAATTATACAGGTGTCGTATGCAACAATATATACACTTATTGTGTTATTCAGAACCTAGTTATATAAATATATATATATATATATATATTACCAACAAAACATGAATCATATACGTAATATCAACGTTGTTTCCTAATTAACGGCTTTTGTGATTTTCAAATAAATTAAATTATTTCAAACAACAGTTGAATTATATAAATATATCATCTATACTATATTTACAAGGTATTTGACAAAAACTCTTAAAAACCATTTTTTATGCACGAAGTACTGTTTATGAATTGATGCATATTACTTAAAATTTAAGATTGCAAGTAAATTGTGCATAAGTACAACTTATTAGAGCTCCATATTTGAATTCGTGTAACTAACTGCTGATAAACATAATCAAATACAAGATAAACATCTATTTTAAATATAGAAAATATATAATATAGTTAAGATAATCATTGAGTTCTAACAGAATATTTAATTATTAAACCAAAAATAAATTACTTTTTTTATTAAATCTAAATTAAATTATAATAAAAAAATTTAATTAGAGAAGTTACACCAAAAAAACTAGAACTATTAAATAGTTAATTTGATACTATTATCAATTTATTTTTTTATAAGTTTTTATGTTATCTTCAAATTGATATTTTAATTCAAAAAAAACATTACTGTTTTCTCAAAACCACATAAAACCATATTATATCGATAAAGACATAATGAAAATTAAAGAATAAAATCGAGATTTATCACGTTGCATTGCACGGATACCCTTCTAGTATCTATAAATATACATATCAAACAAAATAACGTTTGCATGATATTGATAAATTGTATAACTAAATGATAATAAATCTTTTATTTAGTTTAATTAATCTTATTGTATTTTTGACAATTATATTTATTTAAAAATGTAAAACTGTGGTTTATTTGTTATTATTATATTTTTTTTATCAAAACTAAAAAGGTAATATATAAAAATATATGATTAAAAAAACTTTATCTAATATATTTATTTTAAATTTAAATCAAGTAATAAATTCATGGAAACTAAATATTAGGATCAAATATATGTAAATTTGGGAATATATTAAATATTATCAGATATTATGTATTTTTTTACCATTAAATGTTATATGTAATCAAAAGTTAAGAGTAAATTACAAAATTGTCCTCAGGGTTTATGAAACTGTTGGTTTTTTTTCCTAACTTTTTGAAATCAAAAGAGCATCGTTGACGTCGATTTTTTCGACTTAATTCAGTGTTGTTTCCATAGCACCATCCATAAAAGTGTCCCATGTGTAAATCATGTGGGGGTAATTCCGTCATTTTGTATGTGATTGTCGCGCACTATCGATTCACATCCCTCTTTTAAACTAATTACAGTTTTGGTCAATGTGATTGTCGCTTTGTTTCGGATTTGGTCCCTAGTCATTTTTATTTCGGATCTGGCTTATCTTATTACCTTCGTTAAAAAAACTCAGTTGAGTTAAAGGGTATTTTGGTCTTTTAGTTTTTTTTTTATCTTTTAGCTTTTTTGTTTTCTTAGATTTTTTTCTCCTTTTTAATTTTTAATACATATTTTAATGATAAACAACCATCATCACTACCCGACTACAGCCACCGCCACCGAGAACAACATACAATCCCAATCAAAATCAAAAACCCAAATCTCGCCTTATAAATGTTGGATGAATTATGCTTGGGCTGGGGAGGAACCATAATCACTTCGATGGGATTCTCTCAAGATGAAGCCTTACTCCCAAACAAATCAAATCCTAAGCATGATGTTTATCGCAGGGTCTTCAGTTCGTTCGTCTTTTAGCCCTTTTATCTATTAAAACTCATATATAGATCTGAAAACCTGATACCGATTCAACAATCAAATCAAATGAAACAATAATCAAATAGCATATATAAATATGAAACCAGCTTTAAATTGTTTTTCGATTTAGAAAGCAAATCAAACCCAAATTGAGAAAGCAAGTGTTGATTAAACAGGAAAAAAAAACCCAAATTGATAGAGCAAATTGAATCCGAATCAGAGGAACGATATCAACAAGCAAATTTAATCTAAAAACCACAAACGAAAAATGTTGGCAGAGGGGGAAGGTTCTTGTTGGTCATTGTTGCAGCAGGAGGAGAACTGTGAACGACATAGCTTTATCACCGTCATTGTTCCCCGCATTTTGACGAATACCACTGTAGGCAACCTTATCTGGAAGAAGCTCGTTCTGTGGAGATTCACATGTGATTGTAGAAGATGATGGAGAAAAGGAGATATGGGTCAACATTGAGGATATGGGAAGAAACCTTGTTAGGTGGTGTTTGGGATTGCTTATTTAAACTGTTTATTGACTTATTCTGGTGTGTTATCAGTAATAAGCAATTTTTAGTGTTTGGATGAGAAGAAAAGAAAAGGCTTATACCAATGTCAAACCGGTAATAAGGAGTTTTTAAGTTACCCATTTCTGACTTTTCAGAAACAACTTATCAGCTTTAAAACCCAAATTACCTTTTTAACCCTAAACCTAATACTTCTCATCAGTCACGTTCATTTCCTTCAACACCAAGAACACACATAGTGGGAATAGTAGCAGAATCAGTAGAAATCAACGAAGTCGGTGATTGATTGATCAAAACAAATTTGTTTTATGTACAAGATCAGTATCGATCCACTTCTTAATTCCCTATTTGCAAAAGATGGAGATAATCGGAAGGATTCTCTGGTTGATGTCGATGAATACCCAGAACGTCGTCTATGGAGGTTAAAGGAGATAGGGTTACAATATCGATAGGAAATGGAAAATTGAGAGATGGAGATGGGGTTTATGAAGTTTGTCGATTGGGGTTTAGGTTTTGGAATTAGGATTACAAAAGGTTGCTAATCCAAATGTCGATGAACACTCAGGAAATCATCTGTGGAGGTTAAGGGAGATGGGGAATGTCTTTTTTGTCATTTTACATGCATAAGCAAAATTTGTCAAATACTAAAAAACAACTTATCAGCATATTGCGTTTTGGTACCACCATAAGCTAACTCAAACACTTTTTATAAAACTCCGGTTTGACACCACATAAGTTAATAAGCAATTATACAAAAAAGCATAAGTTGTTTTAAATAAGCAATCTCAAACACTCTCGAGAAACAGAAGGTCCCACGACTAGGCACACGGCCTAGACCGTGGGAGAAACCGTAAGAGAGTGTGGAGTTTATGATGCAGGCGTGGTCGCAGGAATCGGTCTAATCAATTTAAGATCATTTTCTTAGGGTTTCTTCTCATTTTTTACATTATTTATGGACTTAAAGTTGTATGGGGGATTTTACCCTCATTTGTTAAACTCAACTTTTTATGAAATAGGTCCCCTTAAGATTAGATGATTTGATGTCTAACACACCCCCTATACTATTGAATAATGACATTTGGCCCTTTGGCTTCAATGTTTTATCCAATATTACACTTTTTACTCTTGTTTTGACATTTTCTTTTATTTTTGGTCCGATCGAACATAAACTATTTTCTTCACTTCTCACTTTCCTTAAATTGCACGATTGACCTCCTTATCACGTTTTTGTTCACATTTTTGGTCCAATAAAATAGAAACCAATTTTATTTTATTATCCTTCTCTTTTCCCTTTTCTTTTCATAATTATTTATTTACCTCATTTCGGGGTGTCATATATCTCTCCTCCTTTAAGAAATTCCGTCCTCAAAATTATACTGACTAGGCTGATGAGAATTCTTAGTCCCTTTTCATTCTTCGGTTATCATGTCATTTCCGAACCTCGAGAATCTTAATTTCTTTAACATCATCATTAGTACCAAATATGTACTCTTGTTTCTTGATCTTCCCGTTTTCTTGACCAACATCTCAAAGGTCTCTCCTACAAAAAGGTGAGCTTGTCGTCAAATCTCGATGCCTTCTAATTTTACACCAACTGAATGATTAATTAAACGTGATCTCATCAAATTTGACAAATGAAAAATGTCGACAATTTACTTTGTAACTATGTTGGCCAACTTGGTTAACAGGCTACTCTATCAACCCTTGTAACTAACTTTTCAGTTCAACATACCTTGGACTTTGTTTACCTTATTTGTCATATATGATTGTGCACTTTCAAAGTGATGTCTTTAACATAGTTATATCCCCTGTCTGAAACTCTAGTGGTTTACGACGCTTATTAATATAACTTCCATGTACTATGCATTTCTAATATACTCATGCACATTACTTTACTCATACTCGTAGCATGTTTGACTATTGCGTTTTTATGCATACGCCAGACAACTTCTTGTACATGAAAGCACGTATGGAAATATCAATATGGATGTCAAATTAAATAAAGAAAATGATCGTTTTATTTGTGTAATTTGTTTTGATCCAATTTTGATTATATTTCGTTAACTTTCAACCAAAAAAAAGTTAAGAGTATTTTTAAAAAATAGGTGATTAGCCACATTTTTTTAATCATATCCATTGAATCATCTTAATCTAACGGTTATGATAAGTTTTTCGATTTTTTTTATTTTCAAAAATACAAGTTTACATATTTTAGGTTTAGAAAACGATGTAAATCAATGAAGCAATTGACAAAAACTCTTAAAAATTATTTTTTATGCATAAGATACTATATATTGATGCATATTACTTAAAATTCAAGAATGCAAGTAAATTATGCATAAGTATAACTTATTAAAGCTCGATGTTTGAATTCGTATAAGTAACTGCAGATAAACATAATCAAATTGAGGATAAACATCTTATTTTGAAATATAAAAAATCTAAAATATAATTAGGATAATTATCGAGTTTTAACAAAATAATTATTTATTATCTTTATAAGAAAATTATATTATTAAACCAAATATAAATTACTTCGTTATTGTACCTAAATTAAATTATAATTAAAAATTGAATTAAAAAATTACATAAAAAATGAGGAATTTTAAATAGTTAATTTGATACTAATATTGATATATTTTTGTCAAATTTTTATTATATCTTCAAATTTAATTTTTTTTTCAAAAATAAAAGCATCATTGCTTTCTCAAAATCACATAAGACCGTATTATAACATCAACTGAGATAAAAAATAAAACGAAATATTAAAATCAAGATGTATCTCGCTGCATTGCTCGAGTATCCTTCTAGTATTAGTAAACGTAACATGATCTTCAATAAATTATTTGTAAAAGTTCTTATCAAATATTTTGTAATATAGTAAAAATACATAAGTATTTTTTTTTCATATCTATGATATGAGTAAATTACAGTTTTGGTCCTTATAGTTGTTACTCACTATCAACTTTCGTCCATCTTTAAACTAATTACAATTTTGGTCACTATGGTTGCCACTTCGTTTCGATTTGGTCACTTTGCTTGTAATTTTGTTTCGGATTAGGTTAATCTTGTTAACTCTGTTAAAAAAAAACTAGTTAAGTTAAAGGGCGTTTTGATCTTTTCACTTTTTGTATGTTTTATCTTTTTTTAGATTTTTTTTTTTGTCATTTTCTGTTGTTTTAAATGTTTTTAGTGACCACAGACCATCAACAACCGACAACCAATTGATGCATCTCATCCCACCTCACCCTCACTCTCTCTGGCTACCCTCACCCTCTGATCATCTTATCCAGTAAACCCTAACACAAAAAATCCATGCCAGATTGTCCAGCATCATCAAAATGGAAGGCAATAAAGCTTGAGATGAGAATAACCAGATCCAAGCAAAGTTGTTGGATATTTCAAACTAATACCGAGAATTTGAGTGGCTTAGGGACACAAACACCAAGGAAAAGTTAGAAATAAAACCAACTTCTACAAGAGCCCTTGTCCAACATTATTAGCACCAATATAACTTCCTTTCCATGGACACTAATGATGTCTAACAAGACGAAATCTGAAAATCGAAAAGCTGCAAACCTGACAAACATAAATAGGAAAATAGAAAAGCTTCAAATCTGGGGTCGAAAAGGAGAGTGAAGAATGGTGTTGTCGGCATTATGTAACAGTGATGCGACATGGGTTTTGATCGTAGTCGCCATGGAGAAGAGGGATCTTTCCGTAAGGTATATGAACCGTCAAGAAAAGGAGGACTGGGGTGCTTGCCGTGAAAAAGAAGGCAATGGGCCAAGAAACCGTCAAACCCATATGGACGAAGAAAGTGAACTAGATCTTCAAATAAGGGTGGTACCGCCGGAGTTCTATCAGATAAAAGTGGCCAAGAAGAATTGTCGTGAAGGGTTTTGGGTTATCTGTTATGTTAAGGTATGTGTATATATAATGATTTATTTATTTAGTTTTTAGTAGAAATTAAAGGAATAACTTAAAGACCAAAAAGGTTAACAAACTTTTTTAACAGAGTCAATCATAGGGACCAAATACGAAACAAAATGACAACCACAATGATTAAAACTGTAATTGGTTTAAAAAAGAAACAGACTCGACAGAGAGTGACAATCCCATCCTATGATTTCATTCATAAAACAAGATAGTGGGCCACGATTAATTTGGGCTTCAAAATTAGAGAGGCCCAATACCCATTTTTAAAAACCCTAACCGCACTTCTAATATAAGCTTCTCCCACTTACAAGCCATCGCCTCCCATCGCCTTCCCCTGCCCCCCTCCGGTACCTGCAAACTAGGCTCTCTGCAAACATGGCGGCAGCTCCACCTAATTCCGTCCAATGCTTCGGCAGAAAGAAGACGGCGGTGGCTGTCACCCACTGCAAGGCTGGCCGTGGCCTCATCAAGATCAACGGTGTTCCAATTGAACACGTTCAGCCGGAGATCCTCCGCTTCAAGGCATTCGAACCGATCCTTCTTCTCGGCCGCCACAAGTTTGCTGGCGTTGACATGAGAATTCGCGTGAAAGGTGGAGGTCATACCTCTCAGATCTACGCTATCCGTCAGAGCATCTCGAAAGCGCTCGTTGCGTATTACCAGAAGTTTGTTGACGAAGAGCAGAAGAAGGAGATTAAAGATATTCTTGTGAGGTATGATCGGACTCTGCTTGTTGCTGATCCGAGAAGGTGCGAGCCAAAGAAGTTTGGTGGTCGTGGTGCTCGTGCTAGGTTCCAGAAGTCATACCGTTAAACAAAACAAAGTAATCTTACGGTCTTTTTTAAAATTACAGGAGGTTCATGTTACATTTCCTTTCGAGAGTATTCTAAGACTGGATATGAAGTTTTTCCCTAGCATTTCTGATGAAAGTAGTTTAATTTTTCATGTTAGACTATGTGTTAAATGGATTTCTGCTGGTTTTCTATAATTCATAACCATCTCTTTTGGATATGAATTCGTTTAAATTTTCCCTGATATGCAGACTCTCTACCATGCTCTAAGATGTTATGCTAAAAGATCTTAAAGTTTTGGCGATCGGCTCTTAGTTGTAGCTTTAGTTTTCGTGTTGGAAATTTGATTTGATCTTTTGAAGTTGTTTGGTCTTTGGTCCTTGATGTATAATGCGTAGCATATTGGCCTAGAAAATCAATCACCCTTTCACAACTTTGTAGAATCTGTACATTTTAGGTTTCAAGAACATGGTAGGAAATTTATACGTCTAAGATTGATTCCTTAGTTGTTACAGAAGGACTTGGGTGTTTTAGGTAGGTAAACTTGGTTTTGATGAATGTTTAGCTCGATTTTTGGGTACAAACTACCATATTTCTAGGCAGTGATTGCCATGTGTTACTAAGGGTTCATTTGTCAGCAACTTAATGAGATTCACAGCTTATTCTGTTACCTATACATAAATGTTTCGTAATGGCTTAATGGTATAGAAAGTGACCTATCCAATAAGTTTTTAGGGGGAATTTATGCAGAAAGTCAAGTTTTTCCAAAACCTACTCCCATAAAAAACAGTCCCCTTATCTGTGTCATTCCCAATCTACATACATGGATTAATCCACACACACACAACTTTTCATACATGACTTAACAGAAAACCAACCAAACTACCACCAAGATACCATTGCATTGGATGCCATCAAGTCAGTATTATTTTAGGTGCTTTTAGATTTTGATTGTCCTAGGGTTTTTTCTCTGAGGCTGGCAATGTCATTTGATTGTGAAAGCTTAGCTTAACTGGCTTTTGATCGAGTGCTACTACCATTTCCTAGGCTATGAACACTTTCTTTACTAATGACACTGCAGAAATGGAATGCCTAAGTCACAATGCAACTTAAAAGATGTTTTATGTGTCTTATTTGTGAGTTGCTGGTGAATATTTGGATTTGGAGTGTGAGCTATCTTCATTTGGGTTTGTATTATAACTGTAGGCTAGAAGTAGTTATTTGTGGTTTAGACTAGCCTTGGTCGACCTTGTAACTGTCCGATTAGATTGGGTTTTCTGGCATTTGATAGTGTACTCGAGTTCTACATCTGCCATTGTCACCTAGTTGTGCATGGATAAAGATACATGCTCGTTCTTCCTGCAAAATTTAATAAGTATTGTGTCGTTTGGTTCTGATTTGTAGCTACCATGTAGGCCTTTTACTTGCAATGGTCTCGGTGGGTTTGGTGACTTGATACAACAATGACTTGTACTACATTTGGTGCAACATTAAGACCAAGAATGGGACAAATATTCTCAAAATAAGTGGAGTAAGTATCAAGATAATGAGACAAGATTGGTATATTGTTAAATTGATCATGTTAGATTAAAACTCTATAATCTGCCACAATTATTTCACTCTCCTATCTCACTTTTGTCCGATTTTGTCCTGGCCAATCTTCGACTGTCTTTCTTGTCTATGTACCAAACATTTGGATAACTAAACGTATCCTCATGACGTCTATGTTTGATTCAGCTCGTTCAAAACTCGATTAAAATTTCTGAGTTGAGCTGGGTTATTCAAGCATTCATTTTTTTGAAAAAAAAATGCTCATATGTTTGCAAATGATACAATTAAAGAGTAAGTTACGATTTTCATCCATGTGGTTTGTTAATAATTTTGATTTTCGTCCTTATGGTTTAGAAATTGTGATTTTTGTTCTTGTGGTTTGCAATTTATTGTGATTTTCGTCCTTGGACTACCTTCTCCCTTTTAAGTAGGAGGGACTAATAATAATTGAATCTAAACCACAGGGACCAAAATAATAATAAATCGTAGATCATTAAGGACGGAAATATAAATGAATTACAAACCATAGGAGCAAAAACTGAAATTTCTAAACCACTGGGACGGAAACATAATTTACTCGTAAAAATATAAAAATTACCAATCTCGAGCCAATAAACGAGTTAATCGATCGTTAGTTCGGGCTCAATAACTCAAAATACATTCGACTTCGAGTCCTACATTGAAAAAGTTATTTGAGTTTGAACTCTACATTGAAAAAGTTATTTGAGTTTGAACTCTACATTGAAAAAGTTATTCGAGCTCGAGCCTGGTATTATTTTTCTAAGCCGAGCTCGAATAACCTACTACTCGATTCGGCTTGACACATTTACACCTCTATTTCCAACTATCATGTTTGCATACCAAACACAACCAAGAAACTAAACTTGTTATCCCGCCCTCAAGCATATAACAAAGGATCGCAACTTCTGTAGCGAGCTTTCTTTGTTGTCCTTTGGTTCATCCGAGTTTTTACGTTGTCAATTCAGTCTTTTTGAAGAAATTTGCACAAACCAACAAATCTAACATATCGTAGGATCTCCGGGTAAGATATAATTTCGTTATTCAGTACTTAGATATAACCAAACTCACAAAACACCCTTCATTGAGGTCACTAAATAGACTAGCAAAACACCATACACAAAACCCAGCCTCAATGACATTCTATCTTCTATGCAGCAATTGTAAGCATCTTCTTCTTGTTTCCTCTCTTCTTTCTAAACAGAAGCTTCCTCAGCAGGTCGATACCATTACCACGTTTCTTACTAGGTACGATAGCCAAAGCCCCAGGTACAACACGTGACTTACAGCTGCCGACACGAACAACAGATGGTGGGGATTTTGTCTCTGTGGTGCTTATAATCTCCTTGGTCTTGGGGGAGCTTAGCGGATCCTCCATGTCACCACCATCTTCCGCCACCATACGGTCACGTAAACACGAATGCTGGCTTGATTTCTTACGAGTGGTTGACTCTGTCGCCTCTGTTGGCGGTGCCAGTGCTTTCAACTGTCGGCCGATGCTGAATATGGTTTCTTGACACTCTGCTAGTTTCGCAGAAGCTGTTGTTATCTCCCATCCCTGCAAAAGCTTCTCAACTTAAAAAGTCTCTAGACGTAGGGCCTGTTTTATTTGTTTTTTTATTAACCTGGATATCCAACCCGCTATGCGAGCCGACTAATCCCAGGGCGACCACCTGCTTTGCAGATAGCCCGGAGTCACCGCATTTGAACCTCCGTGGCCACAAGGGAATTTTTATTCCTCCTTGGATTTGAACCTGTAACCTCCTAGTCTTTTGATCTTCGGAGCCAAGCTCAAACCAATCAGGCACCACCCTTGTGGTTGGGCCTGTTTTATTTGTTAGGATTAATTATTTGGGTATTTACCATATGTAACCTTATTTATGTCAAAATCAGATCAAATAGTGCATAATGAGTTGTAGGCATGGCGGGAGGCACCACCTCTGTCGTTGGGAGGTGTGATTTACCTCCCCATGATGATCGTAAGACCGGTATAGTGGAGGCGCTCCAGAGGGCGGCATAAACTATGTTTGACAAACTGATTGTTACGCTAAAAAAACTATTTGTTTGGTTAATAAGTTAGCTGATAGTTTTGGTAAAAACTAGTTGATAAGTTAGATGACACTGTAAAATGATCTAAAAGGAAAATTCAAGGGGCATAATTAGAAATTTTTGAGAAAGAAAACTCTAATACGGTAATACCCATAGTAGTTTTTCAAAAAGTTAGTTTATTGTTGATCAAACGGGGCTTTTCTAATAAGTTCAAAAAATTAGCTTTAGCTTAGGGTTCAGAACTTACGGTTTGAAGCAGCTTCGCCTCTTGCTCGACATCTACATTTTCCACATCTTTATCCGACCTGCCGCTGCACGATACATCTCTTCAAAATCAGACCCGACTTCTTTTTCAGATAATTCTCAAAATGCGAAAGCCAAATAAATACGAACCTTGCTAGTTGGAGTTGTAGCTCGAGACATGTTGCTTCGAGTTCTTCGCAGCAGTGACATCTATCTTCCAGCTCCACTTTGAGAGCCGATATCTTTTGACCCCCTTCGTTTATTTGAACTTTGGCAACCGAAAGTTGATGATCAAGATCTTCGTTGATCAACTTTTGGTTCTCCAATTGGTCTTCGATCATCGCCTTTGACTCTTTCAAGCTTTCCAGCTCCGTTTTCAGACTCGAAACGTCTTTTTCCGGTACCACTTTCGCCTCATTACTCGATGTTTCAGCATCAGGGGTTTGGGTCCTCCAAGTGATGTAACCGCTAACTGGATCATGGTTTGAGCCTGATTCATAGCGGTGTTGTAAAGCTACTCTAATGTCCTCCAAGAGTTCATCGAAACTTCTTTTTGAAACACAGGTTTGCTCTGAAATTGCGTTAAGAACGCTTGTTAACCAACCGGAGTCTTCATTAGATGGGTTAATAGCATCACCTTGTACCACCGGAACTAATTCCTTGCCTACTGAATCAAGATTATTTGCATCGGGAGAATGTGGATCGACAGAAACTATCGCTAACCTCTCCATCTCGACAAAATCATCCATTAGACTCATATCCGAATCGCCAATCATCGTGCGTCGACTGGCACCGTTTCCGTGGCTATCGTCACATCGAATTTGAGCAAATTCCGCTTGCAAAAGTCGGATTTCGTCTTCTCTTTTATGCATACGTTCTTTGAGAATCTTGTTTTCTTCTTCGGCTTCACATAACCGATTGATCATGAAACTCATTCGTCTATCTAAACCTTCGGGATGACCACTTTCGACTTCACGTTTCGTCTTGACTTGCACAGTAGGCTTTTTCACCAACAACCGAAGCTTCTGACATTCGACATCTAGCTTTGCTGCCCGCTTCACACTTTCTTGGTGCTGCCGGTTTGCAACATCAGCACACCGACTTTGTATCTCGAGCTCTCTCTCGAGAACACGATACTCGTATTTCAAGATCCCGTTTTCCTTTTCAGCGGAATCCAACCTTGAAATCAGCTCATTGAACCCCACCGTCGCTTGAGACATTTGACTACCCACGTCTTCAATAAGTTCCTCTTTCATCGCAAGGGACTTAGCAAGCTGAGCATTCTCAATCATCAGATTCTCGAGCTTTTTGTTTGCTTCGGTGAATTTCTCCTCGGATCTCTTATTTGCCCTCTCGAGTTCATCCACTGCTTCACTTACCCTTTGATCGTGTTCTTCTTTTAACGAACTCAGCTGCTGCCGATAATCCTTTAATGCAGCATTCAAGTGAACTAATCTCTCGTTAGCCTCTATGTTCTGCTGCACCACAGCTTCTAGTTCTTGATTTCGCAGAGCCAGTTCTGCAACAGCCTTTTCCCGGCCTTCAAAAACGGACGAAGTACACAAGCAACAAAATATTTAAAACAATAAACCAAACCAAACAAACCCAATGAATCCCACACGGAGTAAGGTTTGGGACAGTATCGAAAAGAATAAACCAAGTCAAACCAAACGAAACCTGTATATCCGACACATAGGTAGTGTCTTAGGAATACCAAACCAGCCAAACCCTATATACCCACTTATAGGCAGGATCTAGGGAGAGTAGGATGTATGCAGAAACCTTACAAAACAGTACAAACCATACAAACCTTGTATATCCCAGACATAGGTAGGGTCACGAAGAGTAAGATATATGCAGACTTTGTTAAATAGTAAAAATCAAATTAAACTAACACGATATATCCCACAAGTAGGTAGGGTTTGGGGAGGGTAGGATTTTATGCAGATCTTACCTCTACCCCAACCTCTACCCCAAAAGGATAAACATGGTTGTGTTTCCATGAAGACCCCGGCTTGCAAAACAAACAGTAAGATTCTTAAAACATTGAAATTAAGAAGAGTATTAATGATCACCTGCAATGGCGTCTTGTGCAGTCTTTGCTTGGTCAACCATGAGGTTATCTTTGGCATTGCATTCACATAGAAGAGAAGCTACCTTTTCATGGAGGTTTTTCACAGTCCTCTCTAAAGCTGCTTCTTTATCATATTGAAGCATCTGTGTTATATAAATGAAACATGATCACTATCATCGATCATAAACAATGAAAATGGTTGATCTTTAAACCATCGTTCTTGACTTTCAGTCACAAACATAGCATGGCTATTTGTAAAGTTGCAAAAAGGAACACGAAGGTTCGGTGGGAATGGACGATTTTGCATACATCTCAATCTACATTTCCACGGTCCTCCTAAAATTATTCAGTATCGTAAACTATAGTGTTTTTTACTACATTTTTTTTCCCAAAAAGATAGATCACATTGAAGAGACTTCTTTTACAAACCCAATAATTCTTACAAACTTACCATCTGGTTTCTATATGTGTGCAAATGAAGTGTTTATACATGTGTTATTTCATACGTGAAAAGTTCAATATATTTGTAAGTTTGTATGAATTATTGAGTTTTTAAACCACCACCCACCTCACTTTGAATGCAAAATGTGAAAAACATGATCTTTTTGCATCTACATTTTGCAGTTATGTGAATTTACGTTTCTACAGTCATTCAGTTGGGATTTTAAAGCTAACATGTCAATCCATCACCACCACCACCACCATCACTCCTCCCTCTTCCACCACTCAACTAATTTTCTTGAATTTTTTCTTTCATTGTTTGTGAAATTGATAATGTGAAAAGTAGGTTGATGTTTTGGTATATAAACAAAGAATTTAAACAGTAAAAATATTGATTAAAATGAAGTCTCAGATTAATTACCTGTTCTTCATTTCCTTTTGCAGAGATTTCAGCTTCATTGTTTGCATCAATCGACTTCTGGGCAGATCTTTTCCTCCATAGCCATGTTTTCTGGTCCATCATCTTCTGCTCTCAAGTCTGACTACATATATCCACGTAAATACAAGAAAAGAAAGAAAAAAAAAACCAAGTATGGAATTCTAAGTCCTTTCTCGAGCGTTCATGAACGTCTAAATGGACATGACCAGCAAACAAAACAGAAAATGGGAGAATATATATATATATATACACACACACTCAAAGACTCAAAGTTCTTTCAGAAGACGAAAACGGGTACAATGTCTGAATTTTTTTTCCGTTGATAATCTTACAAACCCATAAAGAAAAAGGATAATTAAAAGCTCACCTGTATGAACCGAGCTAAGATTTAGGTTGATTTGACCCACAAAGCAGCATATAAGTTAAAATGTTGGTAGAGGAGTTTCAACAAACAGGTTGCAGGCATCAGAGAAATGAAATCATGGAGACAAGGCAGCACCGACAGAGAGAAATGGTTTGATAAAGAATAGTGGGGGCGATGAAGAAAGTGGAAAAAAGATGAATGTGGTGTGGGCATGGCGAAAGGTGAGAAAAAAAAGATAAAGGGTCGCCGTATAAAAGTCATCGCACAGTACTGTGTGTGACAGAGTCCTGGAACTGAACGCACTAGCATCATCATGTTTTGTTTTATGTTGACGTTATACATTCTATTATATAAATAAATAAAGGGAAAATTGCTTCAAATGAAATCAATTTTTACATGATTTTTATTTTGGGAAACCAATTTTTAAAATCGTCATTTTGGAAAAATCAACTTGCATTTGATTTCTATTTTGTAGAATTAACTTGCAAAATAATTATAGATAAATAACTAAAATTCGTTTTTTTTTCAAAAATTAATGCAATAATTAATAAAAAATAGATTTTATTGCATTAATTTTTGAAAAAAAAAACGAATTTTAGTTATTTTTCCATAATGATTTTGCAAGTTGGTTCCCCGAAATAAGAATCAGGTGCAAGTTGATTCCTTAAAATGACGATTTTGAAAGTTGGTTCTCAAAATAGGAATCAGGTGCAAGTTGGTTCCCCAAAATAACGATTTTGAAAGTTGGTTCCCCAAAATAAGAATCAGGTGAAAGTTGATTCCATTATGGTGCAATTTTCCCATAAAGTAGTGTGATACATATCGATTTCAAAGTGAAACTCTTAGGGGTTGTTTACTTGCGTCTTAATTAGGCTTATTGGTCTATCTGGTTTATTCGCACAGCTCATTTGAGTTGTTTACTTACGTCGTATTTGCACAGAACATGGCTTAATCGTACAGATAGAAATGATGTATTGTTTCCATTCAGCCACAAAAATGACACACCTACCCCTTATTTAAAGCACTGCCTCCTTCCTAGATGAGACATCTCATTGTCGACCTTTTTATGATTTTGTTTTGATGTTCAAATAATTAATATTTGGGGTAAATCGGTCATTTATGTTATTCAGATTGTTGTTTAAGACATAAAAAAATTAAACAACAACATTCATTTTTCCAGACAGATAAATTTATCCAGACAGATAAATTTATCTATACGAGATTTAATAAAAAAATTGGTAAACAGCCCCAATTTAAAAGACCAGTTTTATGATGTAAATAATTATATAAGGATGATGGAAATTGATCTTTACATTAAACAAATGAAAAGTAAAAGTGGTGAAAAAAAAAGGGTAGAAGAGGGTTGGGGAAAACATAGAATTAAACTAGGTAGGGTCACTTGTCAATTTATCATCATGGAGTGTCACACAGCTACAGTTATAAACAAGTGACGTTATTTAACGTTATAATGTTAGCTGAATATATATTTATCGGGTAAAAGTTGATAACCAGTAATTTTAACCGGTCTCATATGGAATGTAGCTTCATGAATACCAATGTGAGGGGGTACTTTTTGATATACTCAGCGGTTGAGGCTAGCAGAAGGACTTATCGAACTCAGGACGTGTCCTGTATTTGGATAAACTCGTCAGTCACACCTCTTTGTCAGAGGCGGACCTACTAAGGCATGAGTAGGGTCTCATGCATCTGCTCGATTTATTTTCGTGAGTAGATTTTTTTTGTATGAAAGGTGCATCCGTTGAATTTTGAGAAGTGCTCCGGGCTCCGGCATACTAGAAAATACAAGAAATATCAACCATAAAACCCAAAAAAAACCCTCTCAAAACCACCCAGAAAACCGAAAAAGTATCTCAAAATAAACCAAAAAACTTAAAATTTTCTTGAAATGGTGGAATTTGGTAAAAAGCACCTCGAATGACTTTGGGGGTCGTTGATTCACCTTAAAGGTGCATCCACTTGACAAAAATCTTAGGTCCGCCACCGTCTTTTGCCAACTGAGCTACATGTCAGAGAATAAAAGTCATCATTTTAACTTATCTTACCTGGTAAGATTCTTGGTTTTCAAATGACACATTAAAATTATTGATGAGTGTCTCTTGCTTGATAGATATTAATCGAGTAAGAATCATTATCCTCACTTATCGGGTAAACCTTTTAATTTTTTATAATGACTTTTACGAAATAAGATTCTCGATGTTTTTTTTATTAACCTGGACATCCAACCCGCTATGCGAGCCGACTAATCCCCATGACAACCATCTGCTTTGCAAATAGCCCGGAGTCATCGCATTTGAATCTCCGTGACCACAAGAGGATTTTTATTCCTCCTTGGATTTGAACCTGGGTCCTTCCGGTACTTTTAACATTTGGAGTCAAGCTCAAACCAATCAGACACCACCCTTGTGGTTAGATTCTCGATGTTTATCATTCTCATCGATAAATGAACGAAACGACCTCTAAATTCAAAAATGTAAGATATAAATTTTAACAATTATTTTATTGTTATAATTTTAAGCTGGTTTTTTCAAGTATGATATAATTATAAAAACTATATTCTAATAAATTATAATAGAAAAGCACTGTAATTGTATATTTGTTATCAAAATTAAATCAAAAAAATATTATTTCTCAATTTAATACCAATATAATGATAAAAATAAAATAATTATTGAAATATAAATTAAATTTGTTAACAAATATATTATATTTAAAATTAAATATCTATTTGTAACTTTATAAGATGGCCAATCATTTATGATAATGTAACACTAAGGGGCCGTTTACCAAACACTTATCCGGTAAGTGCTTATCGGTAAAATTTAACACTATTATTTACTTATCGGGTAAGATTTTAATCCATCAAAACGACATTGTATGCAACAATTAATCTGGTAAGCGCTTATTGTGGTAAGAGTCGTCGTCCTCACTTACCGGGTAAGACTCATGGTCTTTATCTCACTTTTACCGGGTAAGATTATTCGTCCTTACCATATTCATCCAGTATGGTAATGTAACTTAGTAAGCGCTTACCAAGACAAGTGTTTGATAAACAGCCCTTAAATAAAATATTGTTTTTGTTGAGTAATTTTCACTACAACCCTTTTTATGGAGCATCAATTCTTTATGTCCAAATCCACCATACAAACCATGAGCTTTTATAAGTTGAAATGGTCAAAAAGAGAAAGGAATGAAATTGAAATTGATCTTTTTATGACTTGAAATCATCACCTTTAATTACTCTTTTTCTACTTTTGCTTACCAAAGGAATCTAATATTCCCAAATAACCCCATTTAACAAAAAAATAATACAATAAAATCTAAATAAGCCGTTAAAGGGACCCACATTTAAAGTCGTACTCTAAAAGCATTTTGGAACCATGTAGCAAAACATTTCATCTGTAAGTAAATGGTTTTATGTAGACATGTAAACTCTAACTTGCTATTTGGAAGGGTATCTGATTATTGGAGTAAGACTGTATTCAACTGAATTGTACATATACATACACATATACATATTTGTCATTATATTTCCCATAGTGTTATGAGCACTCAGGGGGTGTTTGAGATTGCTTATGATAACAACTTATTGACTTATTCCGGTGTGGTACCGGAAATAAGCACTTTTGAGTGTTTGGATAAACAACTTATACCGGTGCCAAACCGGTAATAAGGAGTTTTTAAAGAAGTTAAATCATTCTGACTTATAATAAGTTGATAAGTGTTTTTGTAGAAAAGCATATGTTGTTTCAAATAAGCAATCCTAAACACCCCCTTAAATGTAATATACAATGTTGAATATCTTATAAATATACACAGTGGCAACTGTAAATTATGCAACTTGTCTTGAACATAAATAAACCACATTACATAAATTTTGCATCTAAGGTACCAAAATACTTTCAGTAATCAATACATATTTTAATCAAAGGCATGTAGACATGATGTCATAACACTGATTTTTTTTTACTTTAAAATAATTACGTATACGATATTGGTACTTGCACACAGATGTAGAACATGGCATGTGGTGATCTCAAATACGAACTAATATGATGGGGGTCAATTATGTCGTATATCTTCCCACCAAGTACAATGACTCTCGGCTCTGTACAGGTGCTTATCTGATCACTTGGCACAACAAAAAAGTGTCTTCTTATCGATGTAATTCTCATGCCAAATCCCTCTTAATCATGGTTACTCATAAGCTTATCATATAAATACTTACCTTAATCATTAATATATTTTGTGAACTTTACTAGACGCCTCTTGTTCATTTCGAGTCTTGTCTTAGGGGCTGTTTACCAAACACTTACCCGGTAAGTACTTATTAATAAAATTCAAGACTATCACTTACTTGTCGGGTAAGATTTTAGTCCACCAAAACGACATTATATGCAACAATTTACTAGTAAGTACTTATTGTGGTAAGAGTCATCGTTCTCACTTGTTGGGTAAAATTTTGAACCGTCTATCTTTGTTCTTCATCGATAAACTTCTTGTTCTAACTATTGCATTATAGAATAATTTAACTGACATTTCTGTAATAAATCAATTTGGATTATTCTTTTAAGACTTTCGATAAAATTATATTTTATATATTTTTTTATCTATTATTTCTAAAATAAAAGATTGATTCTATCGTAGTCAGTTTCACTCTTATACTGTTACCATAATTTAATTGATTGTCTTGTAAACTATCTGAAGTTTTTTCGATACATATTTGTTGATTGAACATGTAAATTGTTATACGTATTTTATATGACTAATTTGTTCAAATCTTGAAGTTTGATTGACAAATCAATTGTAACTCACTCCAAATTTCAAATTTTCCAGCATAGAACAAAGTCATTCCAAGATCAAATCATAATGTCGGAGCATAAGTAAAAAAAATCAAGTTACTATGCAGAAATAACTATTTATGAGTTGTTTGTTTTCCTCTTAATAGTTTCATTAAGAGGCAACCTCTAAATCGTTAAGAGATGAATCTTGTTTGGCATAAAAAAAGTCTGCCTCTTAATGGTTTTAAAACACTCTGAATGATTTTGTATCTTGAATCTCCCTTAACCATTATGAGCACTAATTTCATTGTACACAATTACCAAACAATTATATTTCATTTTGCATTATATCATGAGAGCCTCTTAATCATTCTGACCACTTAATCATTCTGCACCAAACCATTCATCAATTGCCAAACAGCCCCTCATTTATAAATACACATGTAGTGAATTTATTTTTCGAAATACTCATGCATTTATCATAAAGTCATGTTCAGCCTGTTCAGTATGCACAATAGTTGTGAAAATCCTAGCGATTGTGCATAACTTGCCTAATTCTCTTCTCTACTTGGCAAGTTGGCATGACCGATTTTTATGCTTTTACGGTTTAACACTTACTAACTCAGACAAACTCACTTCTTTTGCTCTTACGATTATCTCCCATGAAACCATCACCGATAGCTGGGCTACTTATCCAAGTTGGATCCAAAGACCCAACCAAATCCGTCATGTCTCCTCGTTTACTTGGCTAGCTGGATCCGACTTGCTGCTCAAATTTACATAACCTTAAAAAGGTTATGGTAATTGAGTAAGCATGTAAGTATACATGTTCATCCAATGTCGTTTTAAAACAAATAATAAAATGGTAAGAACCAATTATTGTTTTTCACAAGGATACGTTTCTTAAGCTGCGAGATCTCAAGTTGAAAAGGGTAATTTCAGATGACGAAGTCGAAGATATTGGTTTGAGTGAGTAACAATTAACAATAAGCAATAACAAGAAAGTAAAAGCATGGGTGTAAGGTCTGGCTGGAATTTTCAGCTCAAAGTGCAACAAGACCTTACTACAGCGTAACACGAGGTCGTTGCAGCAATAGTTCCCTACATCGCACTGTTGGATCAATCGACCTTCTTTCGAAGTGGAGTCAGACACTCATTATTAGTACCATTATTATATCAAATCATTAGTACAAATCCAAGCATGGTACTAGACATATATATCTTATCATACTAGAAACATACTCACGCAATGCAGTAAGATAAATCTCGATTTTAATTTCTAGTTTTTATTCTGTCTCTATCGATATAATACGATTTTATGTGGTTTTGAGAAAGCGATAATGTTTTTATTTTTCAATGAAATATAAATTTGAAGATAGGATAAAAATTTGACAAAAATAAAATCGATATTATTATCAAATTAACTATTTAATAGTTCTCGTTTTTTTGGTTACCTTCTTTAATTCAATTTTTTATTATAACTTAATTTAAATTTAATAACAAAGTAATTTAGTTTTGGTTTAATAATAGAGTTTTTTTTTATGAAGATATTAATAATTAAACATTCTGTTTGAACTCAATGATTATCTTAATTAGTAATTTAGACACCATCCCTACATGCATGCTTCTGATTGGTAGACTTTAAGGAGTAGATAATGCTTTCAAAAAGATGAACACCAATTTTTCAGTAAACCAAAATCGTGAAAACGACCTTTGTTGTAGGAACCTTCTGCCTGTCGCAACAACTTCACTGTTCAGCCCAAAACTCACCATGATAGATTATTTCCATTTTCAAGCTTTGAAACAAGGAAAATATGAAACTGTAATAAAAATACTCAAATCATCCATTTAAGGACATAAAACATACAAGAAAAGTGGAGAATATGGTGTTATAGAATGGACATAAATCATACCTATCACTTGCCCGGACACAGTACCCCACCATGCAAGGCCCAATATTGGGTAGTCAAACAACGACCCACGTCTACCATGATCCCGTCAACCCCCAAAATTTGAACTTGTTCGTCACCAATCGTTAAACTCATTGAAAAAAGTTAAAGAATGTTAGACGAAGGGAAAAAATCCTTTGAACATGAACAAAAGTGAGAGAGGAAAACCAAGTAAATGAAGTTAGGGTCGAGATCTGTCAAAATGGACAAATGTTAGGAACGAAAATCATACTTAATTGAATTCAGGGACAGACCCATAATTTTTTTCAAATGGTGGCACCGTTTGACTATAAGAAAAAGATATAGGGAAAAAATTTCAAATAGTGGCACCATTTGACTATAAGAATCAAATTTACAGATTTTTTTTTTCAAACGATGACACCATTTGACTAAGAAAATGACATTAACAGGATTCAAACTTGGGTCTTGAGTGGAATAAAAACATTGCAAACCAACTCTACCAAATAAAACTTGTTCTCATTGTAGTTTCAAAATACATACGGTAGCACACAACAAATTAATATGGTTGCACCTTTCACGAACCTAAATTTTTTTTACCCTTCGACGGAGGAATAATATGGTGGCACGTGCCACCGTATTCTCTACTCTAGGTCCGTCTATGATTGAATTTAGTTTATTTTTTAAAGAAATACTAGTTATTACTCATCCGATGCGACATGATGTAAATTTTCATTATAGATCGAGAATGAAAATCAATACAATTTTTCATCAAAATGAAAATTCAAAATTTATATTTAAACAAAAGAAAAACTAGTGGTAGTTAAAGAAGTCTATTAATTCATTATTATTGTTTATAATCACAACCACCACCATCCTCCCCTAACACAACCAACAACAACCAATACCACCAAATCAGATACAAACAGATCAAGCAAGAAACAAATGCACAAATAAATCAGATTCATTTCACCAATCAAATGAGATTGTTTCAAAATCCCTAACATTAAACAGAAAACCCTAAATCTAAATAAAAAACCCTAAAACTGAATCACATCCTAAAACTAAAATCAAACATTGAACAAAACCATGGATGAACATTTTCAAACCTTAAACGGATTCAGATCCACCACTTTGTTCCGACATTCAATCCAAACACATAAAAACATGGATTTGAAACATAAGTACATCTATCAAAACACGTTAAGAACAGAATGAGAGTTATGGGTGACGGTCTTCCATTTAGTAAGAGAAGGAAAGGGAAAGCTAGTAAAGATGAACGAGAATCATGGTGATTGTCCACACCCCTGCTAGAGGCAACACGACTTCGGATTTGAGTTTCTTGAGAAAATAACGATCTAGAAATGCGAGTGGTTGGTGGGGTTCACCGGAGAAGATGGGGAGTGGTGGTGGGGTTCATCGGAGAGTAGTGGGAAGGGTTCACCGAAGAAGATGGGGGGACCAGAGATGGTGCAGGTGCAAGAGATGCACTACAACAAAATTGATTTTATAGGATGTATAAAATGTAGAAACGTCCTAAAAGATATTTTATAGGACTTACATTTATGAGATCGAACCAACAAACGTCCTATCTATAAGTGTTACAATAAATTTTTAGAACGTTTTTAGACGTTTTAACAAGTTTTTTAAGAGACTTTTAAAATAAAATGTCATATTAACATTTTACGTGACACTATTTAAAAAATTGTCCTATAAACACAAATGTCATGTAAAAAAATTGTCTATGTCGCGTTATTCTATCTTTCAAATACTTTGTTTCCATCGTATCAGAACCTTCCACGTAAGAGGTTCCGACTTCACAAGGGTATTTCGGTCAAACAAAAAGGAAACCGCTGTCGTAATGAAACAAAGAGATAAGGGGTATAAATATAAACGGCACACATTTTCGCGTCTATCTCCGTTTTCGTAACCTTCCATTAAAATCACGTCTCATTCAAATCCCAACGACCCGTCCACCGCCATCGCAACGGAAAAGGGGCTTTCTAGATTCACACAACAAAAAAGTGCACGGAGGAACTCGTCGGAACCCTAACATCATACTCTCTCTCTCTCTCAATAGATGGAGATCGCACCGGCGATGCTGGCTGCACAGGATGGAGTCGGAGAAGCCGCTCCATCGGCTTCGACCTTGACGTCAGAGAGTGTGTCGGTTGGTAACAAGAATTCTTCAACCAATACGTATGATGATGATGATGACGAAGAGGAGGATGTTTGCCGGATCTGTCGGAATCCGGGAGACGCTGATAATCCTCTCCGCTATCCTTGTGCTTGTAGCGGTAGTATTAAATTTGTTCACCAAGACTGCCTTCTCCAGTGGCTAAATCACAGCAACGCTCGCCAGTGCGAGGTTCGTTTCTCTCTTATTTGGTTCAGCCTAGTTGAATCTTTCGTATTATATATTGAATTGGTTATGCTAATTTAGTGTTGGTTTGAAAAAGAATTCATTTTTAGTACGATTTTTATGCTTGATAGTAGATCGTAATTCTTTATCTTTCTTGAATAACACTATAGTACTGTAGTTATGGTTGGAAGATGTGGGTTTACAAGATAAAATAAATTTAAATTGAATTTTAAGTCGAGCAAAGCTTGCTGGAGCTCTCAACTTATGGTAGGCAGTGTAGAATTAAGAGGCCTTCACCATCTTTATGGCCAAATTGTGCTTTAATTTCAACGAGATAGAAACTATTTTCTTGTAGGTGGGGTAGCTTATTGTCTCGTAGGTGGGGTGACTTATTGTCTTGTAGGTGGGGAAGCTTATTGGCAGTTTTATGAGATAAACAAGAGAACATCTGAGTTGTATTTGGTTTTTTCCTACGTGGAAGGTGCAATCTAGACTTCTAGCTGAAACTAAAAATCAGAATAATTGCTGTTACAAGCAATTTAAAGCATTTTTGTGAGTCGTGAGAAACTTGCATAATTCTGGTGATTACTAGGTTACAGATGGTTTTAGTATCCCTTGTTATTGACTAGGTTGCAAGGGAATATGACATGTAACCGTTGTTTTCTCTGCTTGTCGAGAGGAAATTCAGCTTTATTAAGAGTATTAGCTACTCTTACAAACCTGGTGAAGTGCTGAAAATTGACCATGCCGTGGGTATAACTGTATAAGTGTGTGGATGACGTTTAAGGCACAATGTTGTGGGTAAAAGTGTTGAGGTCATTTTGTCTTCCCCTTGTTTTTTCCATGGAAGGAACAATACTTTCCGTTGTTTCAGTATGACTTGCATAGTTGCTAAAAGAAACTGTGGCGGATTTAGATAGGATATTTGTGTACCTGATTTTACACTTGTCAAATGGCTTCTATAGGCTGCTCTTATGCTTTCTTTAATCTTTATATTAATCAGACAAGTGTTCTTCACTTCTATCTTTTTGCTGTTATCATATCAGTATGTGCTCATTGGCTAATTTGCTTTCCAGTTGAACAAGCTTCTTTTCTATTCAGAATTTAATTATTTTTTAAGGTTATTTTTTTGTAGTTCTACATAAGTTAAAACTGCAATATGAATGTAAATAAATACATGTGATTCGGGATCCTGTGAAATGGACCATTGACATATTTCTAGTTTTGGAATGGAGAGAATGGTCTTTTTTGGGTTTTTGTGGTTGTGATATCTTCCTTTGTCTTGATTGCCCCCATAGAATCTTTACATATAATTCTCTCCACCCCATTTATATATTGCTGCGTTAAATTCCATAATGTAGGAAAGGATGAGTAAGTAATACTAGAGCTGAAGTGACAACACCTGGCCTGGCTCATGTGGTGCATATGATACTGTTTTCCCAACGTGCTTGCCAACTCGCCTTTCGTTTATTTGTGTTTATCTGAACATTTTTGTGTCTAGCAAAAAGATGACGAGTTGCTATTCGGAGATAGCAACTGAAACATTGTTAGAAATATGCTTTCATTAGTTAATAAACCAAAATTCTTATGGAATTCACTTTTTGTGTAAACTTAAAATCCTGACCGAATATTTTTTTGATTGGCACAATTCTAAAGCATGCCAACTTCTAAAAATGTTTTCTTTTGTCATAAACCGATATTGTTTTGTCATAGCATGTCTCTTCAATGGTAGCTCTTGTGTGTGGGCATTGTTATGGTAGCTAATATGAGCTTTATTTCATGTCTAGCTTAGATGTTATATGGAACCAATATTCATAAAGGATCACTCATCATTGTAGCTTATATAAGTTCAACTCGTATCTTGTCAATTTTGATGATCTTTCAGTGATAATTCATAGAGACTATTGTATTTTGAGGTGATGACTACCTTGCCGACGTAAGCATGTGACCTAGGATGCATGCCTAAGCTGGTAGGTGTGTGACCACCGGGTTTAGTGAGCTACAAGCAGCTCATATGGAGCATCCCTAGGAAACCTGATGACCTAGGCTTGCAACACGGTTGCCATCTAGGTCGCATGGCTCAAACATTTGTTTGTAAATAATTTTGAATTCTTAGTATATGTTTTGCCTTGCAAGGATTTGGAGTTCGTGACTTACTAGATCGCCACATTGGCTCGTGATAATCTAAAAAGGGAACTTGTTGATCTAGCCACACGACGCTAGGTCATTGGCTTAGGTCGCATATAGGGATTTGGCAATAAGGAGTGATTTTTAGGTCAAATTTTATTGGATTGTTTTTCAAGACTTATTTTTCTTTCAAAAATAGCAAGAACAAACTTGGAGTTAACTTCTATTTGATTAATAAGACCGCTCTCTCCTTGTGGACGTACACTATCACATCGATATCGAATACACGTCAAACCTTGATTTCTCATTTTGTATGCCATTGTTGTATTTGTGATTGTTATTTCCTTTACATTGCTTGTGGATTGCTTATTGTGGTCAGCTCATTGAGCAAATATTGCTAGACCCGTATATTTGCATGCTTATACCGATGTTGTTCGCATATGGATTTTGGTTATTTGTTTGGGACCTTTGGGGATATCATTGTTTGTTACTCGTGATGAACGTTTACCGTAAATAGACCATAAAAATGTGTATTTGTGTCAATGAATTGTTAACATTGGCATTGCTTGCTTACTATGAAACCTAGCTTTGGAATATGTGGCTTTTGCTCTTCACATAATTAGATCCATGACACCACACCAAAAAGGGAATCCTTCACCACTAGTATAAGGGTTTTAAGTTTATTCATGTTTGTTCACCAATATATCTTTTTTTATGAGGTGCAACACACTGCTCAATTGTCTATACTTTTGACTTCTTTTGTTTTCTTTGTACTTTTCACATTTTTTTCTTTGTTCTTCCAATGTTGGTGCCACTCTCTTCTCTTGGCATAGTCTTTTTTGGGTTTGGATCTGTTCCGATTTTGGGCTATAAGTTCCAAACATCGTCTTACTATTGTTGATATTAGCGTTCACGCATATTTTTTTTAATCTCTAATCAACTTGTTTCAAGTAAATTGTCATCAATTTTATGATGTAATTTGAGTTGCACATTAGGACAAAACACCAAAGATTATAGTGAATCCGTTGTTTGGTGAAACTTCTTCTCATACATAAGTAAAAGGTTCATACAACCTTTATGGCGCTGGAATACTGATAGAGAAGTGGAACGGGGACGGAGATTTTTGTAAATGGCAATGGACTATGAAAGTTGCCTTGAGGAGGAACCACATACACACAGTAGTATTTGCTCAAGATCAATTGGACCCTAGTCTTTTAGCACTAGAGTTATTTGAAATGAAAGAATGGGCATTTACGACAATACTAATGGCAATGGGAGATGATGTGATTCTAGAGGTCTTTTTTAGAAACCACAGCGGAAGGTATCTGGAACCGGTTAGAGGAATTGTACTTGAAAAAAATCGTGGATGACCGGGTGGAATCTTATGAAATTGTGTATTTCCTATAAAATGAAGGGACCACGATGAAGAATCATTTGACTACTTTCCAAGATCTGTTTATGAAGATGGAAGCCATTGATGTGCTACTTGTTCAGGACGAGGAAGCACTGGCTATTATCTTATTGTCATTGCTTCCAGATATATATGCACAGTTAAGCAATAGCCTCATTTATCGTAGAGATGCCATTACGTCTTCTGATGTTAAGGCAAGGATCTTAAAGTGTAGAATTGAGGATTCAGATATGGGATGGAAATAGCTTGCAGGAGAATAACAACAATAGTCACGACCTATTTGTAGGAAGGAGTCGTAGAGGACATCACTCCATTCTTGGAAATCTAGTACAGAGGGAAGTCTAAACATCTTGGTGATTGTAACTATTGTCACAAACCTGGTCATTGGGTTAGAGATTGCCCAAACTTGAAGAAGAAGAACAAGAACCATCTAATTTAGAGCCTTCTAGTGAAAGTTATGATTGGCCGGGTGTCACAATGGTGGGATTCTAAGAAGCATTTAATATGTTCCTATGTTTTCTATGTTTTTTAATTTACTTCCTTATGATTTCTAATACTTGGAGGTTGTTGCAAGATGTTTTCATATATTTTTCTGTATTTTCCTATGCTTTGAGAATGTTCCAAGCTATGGCCTATTTAAGCATCATGTCTCTCGTAAGCCAAAACACTTCTTGACTATCAAGGTGCATGTTTTTTAAACAAGTCTTATTTAATGGCTAATTATTGTGACTTGTATCACTATTCGTCTTTCTTTCCAAGAGTGGGGCAAATCAAACTAGGATTTTTTGGTTATGGCGATTTATCTTGGATTATTTGTTTCTTTATTTTAACCAACCTACCTTATTAGGCACATCAACAAAGGAGCTCGATGCTACACGTTTTTGGCATTTGAGAATTAGCCACATGTGCGAGAAAAAATTACATGTTTTGCATTGAATAAAGTTGATTTAGAGCATGGTTTTAGAAAGTGTGTGAGGCATACGCTTCTAGACGAGGCTGCCAAAAATTGCACCTGAGGCGGCGCCTCTCAATCCTCGAACGAGATGTACGCTTTGGTTGTCTGAGGCGGTGACCAAAGGCGTTGAGACATGAGACTATGGAGAGTCGTACACTTCGCTACAGAGGCTAAATTATTAAAAAAATGACTTAAAAAATCCTTTTCAATTTCTTATTGGAGAACCTTGTTCTTCTCTGGTTCTCTTATGCCCTATCTGCTACTCGTCTATTGTCCTTCGTGAGTTCTAGTTTTCTCCTTTTTTCTATGCGTTTTCTTCTTCGATTCGAGCAACCTCAAGTTTTACAGAGATTGTGTTACGGGTAAACAAACATGATTTCATTTGGTGTTGGGAATCATAATACGAAAGGAATCACTTGTTATGTTTATGTGGATGTTTAGGATCGGTAAGCTATATAATCCCTTGGAGAAAGGAAGTATTTTGTCTCATTCGTGAATGATTTCTCTCACAAG